GCGTATTCGAAAATTTATGGACTTACTGTTTTCCAATTTATAGCACGTATTCGAAGATTAACCGAACGAACCATTTGAAACGCGCTCTATAATAATACGTTGAAATAAGGCTTTCGGGCGATCTACAGTGTTAAAGCGGTAAGATTTTTAGGGCCCATTTTTTTTTCCACGAACAACTTAAAATAACAGCAACAAACAGCAACTTTTAAATAATACGAATCTAGCAGCAGAGCACAAAAGTGTTTAGGGGCAGAAAAAGGGACATGGCCTATATTTCATGCCTGCATATTTAAACAATGGATCGCAATAAGAGGTAACCTAACATTAATTTTTGAAGAACTCCGAAAACACTTCGAACACTCGTTTTCGGAGCGCGAGCATTGAAGATGCCAAGTGAGATTTTAGCGAAACGTCTGCGGGATTCCAGTCGGAGTTCAACCAGCGAACGGATGATATCCCGGAATATAGTGTCATCATATGTATATATATATATATATATATATATATATATATATATATATATATATATATATATATATATATATATATATATATATATATATATATATATATATATATATATATATATATATATATATATATATGGGCGTCGCGACGCGTCGAAAAATTATTCGATTGCAGAGACTTTGGAAATACGCTCATACAAAAGTACATATTATTTAAAAACTTTTTTGTTATTTACTCAAACTTATTTACTTTACGCGTTTCTAAGTTATACCGATTTAAAGTAAACATTTCTTGATTAATAAAAAATGTGATTAACGCTAATTTTTACAAGTATGCCATGAATGTTAGTTACTATGGCAACCATTGTTATCGCAGTTGTTTTAAGTGCAATTACAAACAATAGATTTCAACTATCTTAGTATGATTTTATTTATCGATTTAGTTCTGATAACATGATAAATAAATGAAAAAACAGTAAAATACCTACAAGTTAATAACCAAAATTATTATTGCAATTAACTACATAATAAGACATTTCAAAAATTTTGTTCAAAATTGTGTCCATCTGTTCGAACACAACTATCAAAAACTTTTAACAGATGAGCTTGGGTCACTTGTAGGAGAGTCCTTCTTGTGATAGCGGCACACGCTGCACTAATTTTGTTAATGAGATCAGCCATATCTTCGATAGGTTCTTCATAGATAACGTTTTTTAGGTAGCCCCAAAGAAAATAATCTGGTGGTGTAATGTCCGGGGACCTCGCCTCGCACCTTACCGGTCCAATAGTACCAAACCATCTATTGGGATATTCTCGGTTCAAATACCTCGTTACTATTTGGGCATTATGTGCAGGCGCTCCATCCTGCTGTAGCCACATATTCATTCTAGTGCCAAGAGGCACTTCTTCTAATAGTTCCGGAAGTGTAGTTTGAAGAAATCTTAAATAGCGATCTGCATTTAAAGTTCCTTCGTAAAAGTAAGGTCTAATAAGGAATCCATTTAATATGCCGCACCAAACATTGATACTAAAAATTCGTTGGTTACCTCTTTCTGTAATCCAACGAGGATGATTTTCGGACCAAAAACGACAGTTGTGTCTATTAACGATTCCATTATTTTGAAATCGACTTTCGTCGCTCCATAAAATTTTCGAGAGAAAATTTGCATCTTGGCTATACAAACCGGACAATGTCGCTAAAAAATACATTCTTCTAGCATAATCGCCTGATTCTAGTTTATGAACTAGTTTACTTTTGTACGGGTGAAGAGAGTTTCTATGTAGAATTCTCCACGAAGAACTTATGGTAACACCGGTATTTTCTTTTATCTCTGATAGGGATATCTAGGGGTTATTATCAACCTGCTGAATTACAGCAGCAGTATTTTCATCATTTGTAGCCGTCCTGTTCCTATCTCTTTTAGGTTTTATGAAGCTGCCATATTCTCTTAAGTTTTTACATAAACTTGAAAAGGTTTTTGCATCGGGGACTCTTCTATGCGGATAACGCCGTGCGTAAACTCTTTTTGCTTCTCTACAATTGCATCTGCATTCTCCAAACACCAGTAACATGTCTACTTTTTCCTCATTGCTAAATTGCACCATTTTCACGTAATAATTCTTAGTTTTTTTTAAACCGAACAAATTTGGATATTTCTTGTGACAAAATGTGACAATTTTTTGATACAGCAATAACAACTTACGTTTGTAATTGCACTTAGAACAACTGCGATAACAATGGTTGCCATAGTAACTAACATTCATGGCATACTTGTAAAAATAAGCATTAATCACATTTTTTATTAATGAAGAAATGTTTACTTTAAATCGGTATAACTTAGAAACGGGTAAAGTAAATAAGTTTGAGTAAATAACAAAAAAGTTTTTAAATAATATGTACTTTTGTATGCGCGTATTTCCAAAGTCTCTGCAATCGAATAATTTTTCGACGCGTCGCGACGCCCAGCTCTTTGCAGGCGTCGAATTTTTTAAACTTTAGGAAATATCTACTTGACCCCACACTTTGACTACTTTTTACATAAATTAAATATTTCTTTTCGTTTTGGACTTATTGGCGTGCGGAGTTTTAAGTGAAAAACCCTATATATATATATATATATATATATATATATATATATATATATATATATATATATATATATATATATATATATATATATATATATATATATATATATATATATATATATCTATATTTATATATATATATATATATATATATATATATATATATATATATATATATATATATATATCCTCTTCTTAAGGTGGCTTATCCTTAAGGACGTTAACTACTACATTTGAACATTTAATCTTATTTGTGACCGCTCTAAATAATTCTATGTAAGTCAATTGTCATTTCATTCTATAAATATGTTACGAGATTTTTCGGTGCCTGTTTTTATCTCCAGTGAATGGTCCCAAGCTTTAACCAGAGTTTTTCCAAGGTAAGTTATTTTTCATAGTCTTTCCAGCTCTTAATTTCGACTTTTCTGTGCTAGTGTTTGCGGATAACCACAGTTTTTTCTCGTTGTGTTTAGTGTTTTTAGTGTCGTCAGTGTAACGCAGGTTGGTAATGCATGTTAGTTTTTTCAGACAGGTCGCTTTTTGTTGTTACGAGAGGTTTGAGATGATCCTTAAATCTTAAAATTTTCATTAGTTTATTATGTTTTACCATATCGGAAGCATATTGAAAATTTCCAAAATAGATGTCTCTACATCTCTCAATTAACACACGTATTGAGAAAAGTGAAAGAAAACCAAATTCAGTTTGACGAGTTTGTTCGTCTAATTCGTTGCGTATTCTATAACGTATTATTCCGATGAAAAGCTTCAGCGCATGGAGTTTCCTGGGTGTTTTTTCTTCGGCAGTGGTATAAACACCAATGTCGGCCATATATCATCATATATTTTTTTGTCATTATTTCGATATGTTTGTCTAATAATACTTTTTTATTCTTCAGCTGTTCTGCTGCGTTCAGAATTTCCTCCTTTGTGATATAAAATTCAAACGACAGTCCCTGAACACCAATGTTCAATTTTTGTTGACCTTAAAACATTCGTTTTATTTATTCTCTCCACCTTTCTATTGAATCTTCTATGTCCAGCAAGGGTCTCGATGTTTATATTCAACAACAACGGAAGAGCTTTGCTTCCATATGCCAGCAGAATCTTTTACTTTTTTATGTAAATTAAACGAGTACTGTCTTTATTCTAATTCTTTAATTTCTTTTATCAAAGTTTCCTTGGCTTCTTAGATTTTCCTTTTGTTGTTTTTGTGCATTGATTCTTTTTAATTCTGTATTTTCTTTTCTGCTCCACCATGTTCAGAATTTCCATGGTTGGTTCCCCTTACCTCTTTTGTTTGAGATAATTTTCTATTACTCGATGTTGCTCAGAAGTTTGTGTTGAATTTAATGGTTCTTCGCTCAAGTCTCTTTGTATTAGTAGTAGTTGTTGTTAACTTTATCTGGGTTAATAACTATTGTTTTCTTAATACTCTTTATTCTTTTAATACTGTACGCTTATTGTTCCTAGAATTCGGTGAGGATCACAGCTTCGGGATATGTTTTGCAAGACTTTACTGCATTTTTAATTGTGCACAATTATATAGCCGATTTGATTCCTCGTGATGTGTCCGTCTATTACATCTGCTGGAAATTTCCACGTGTATGGTCGTCTAGGTGGTACTTTGAAAAAGCTGATTATTTTATTCCCAAGGCAAAATTACCCGCCATATCCCCTGCCTCCATCTCTCCTATCCTGGCGTTAAAGTCGCCGAGTATTATGTTGATTTCCTGTTTCTTTGTTTGTCATAACGTTCTGTTTAAGTCCTCGTAGAAATTTAAATTTAAACAAATATTTTTGTATATGTTAATTCTAAACTTAAAAATTAATTCATAATTAATCGAATATACAAAAGAAAAATAATGGTGGGTAAAATTTTGAAACATACTAGTTGAATGAATTTTTCTCATATTTACAAAGTTTAAAGAAATCGCTTTATTGGTCACGTAATTTTGGACAGTATAGTAATAGTGGGGATAAATTAGATTTCGAAAGGTTACCAAATAACGTTCTTCAATGATTCAAAATCGCTTAGAGAAAATGTCCTATTCATTGTCCAGAGATGCTTCTTCAAAAGTCGGTAGTTTTTGAGGTAACCGTACATATAATTAGCAAACAACACGTCAACTTTCGTCGACAAAACATCCCCTCAAATAAAAAAAACCGCCCCGGCATCTACGGATAACGGTGCGTCCCATATACCCAAATAACCGTTTCGTCAGGTACAATAAAAATTAGGTCGCCCTGTATAACGGTATCCGTGCCGATTCGACCGCAGAATTTGCCAAAATTTCGTACCTACAGTGGGAAAAAGTAGGAGGGGCCACACCCCGGATTCGCCTTGTTGCATTGGTCAGTCCCACAAGAAATGACTCGTTACTTAAAAACATACCAAATTTCCGAAACTGATGAGTTCCCGTCAATTATTGGACGCCACAACAAGTTTGCGATCGGTGCCGCGATATCGAGTCTTGTTTTATTTCTTAGTGGTATTTGTCGTGCGCGTTAGGATAATAATCGAGGTAAGTGTTTATTTTTTTGGTGCTGCCCTTTTTTTTACGAATTTTTGCCGCTTCTCATGGAATGTTTAGAGACGCTCATTTTTTAAGTTACCTGACGATTAAAAGCGTTTAACTTGATTTACCCAGGTTAAAGTTTTGATTGGCCTTGAACGGAAAACCTCCAATTTTGGTTGAAAAACTTAATCCGCATGTTTTTTGTTAAACAAAAATTGGAAATCTTTGGGTGCTTAATCAAGACTTTGTTTTTGATGATGGATAGTATAAACAGGTGGTCACACTCACATTGGCCACATTATAAAAAACATGTTATTAACCTAAACTCCAATTTTTGACTAAATTAAATCCCGAGCTGGATATTTAGCCAAAGATTAACTAAAAGTCAGCACTCGTAAATTCAATCATTACTCAAAAGATAATGGAGATGCAGTTTATCGGTACTTTTACACCTGATGAATTAACATGCATAAATTTTGCTCGCCATTCCGTTTAAATCAATCGTGCCCAGATATGACAAGTCTCTAAAGTCAGATACCTTTATTCCAGATGGAGGTGATGGACCTGAGCGTCAAAAATAAACCGCTGGTGTCGACCAGTTCCTTTCGTCCGTATGAAGCTAAAATGGAACCATTTTACGGAATGGTCAACCACCACGCTCTCCAAACCCCTTTAGTACTACCACCAACGTTCAGTCATCACCCTGGAGATTTCATAAGGGTACCCAATCTACAACCACACAGTGCACTTTCGACCATCGTGCCTAACCATCAACGCTACAGCTCAGAAACGGAATCGGACAACATTTCCACCCATTCGAGTTCACATGACGAATCCGACCTGCCCGATTCTTCTTCAAGACTTCCGGATATTAATTCGAACAGTCTATGCGCCAATCCATACGGCAGAAGCGTCAGCAGACCTTTCAAAAGCATTAACCCCTTAGCCATGTCTTTAGGAACGTTCAGGATGGACAAGGATTCGATGGCGGCTTACGAGGAGTTCCGTCAGAAGATGTTGTCCCAAGTGCAAGGCGCGACCGGGAACGAAATAAACAAAAATATGAGAAGGACCATTCAGGCTTCGAATCCGCAAAGTTCGGATCCGAGTTATTTAGAAAAGAGAAAAAAGAATAACGAAGCTGCAAAGAGGTCTCGTGACGCGCGTAGAGCAAAGGAAGACGAGATCGCAATCAGGTGTGCATTCCTCGAGCAGGAAAACGTTAAGCTCAAGCTGCAATTGGCCACCATCGAGCGACAAAAGAAAGCACTGCTGGAGATGACCGGCAGACGATGAACAAGATGGCATCGTCTATTGTGTTTTAAAAGTGTGATTTCGATTCTTGTCATTAGTTTAGTTTACGTGTAAATAATAGACAGAGGGACGCCATGTTTAATATAGCAGACATTTTTGGTAGTTTGTTTACTTACTTCCCTGGCAAGGTCGGGTGACTGTAGTTAATTGTAATCTCCCACAAAACCAAACTCAATATCTTTTATTATTAAATTAAACCCTATATGATATTAAATACTTTAGTCTCCTGAAATGTCCTTTTTAAAAATTAAAGTTTTTCGATTTATTTTTATCGCATATTAGGGGAAAATTTATATTTTAACATAATATATCCTCCAACCAGGCAAACTAATTTCTTTTCGAAAAAAAAAATTAATGGAATTTAATTGTCAAAATAAATTACTGTTTTTAATAATGTGTTTTACTTAAGAAAAATATACTCTAGTAAGTAGGGAACGCGAGAGATCAAATAAAAAGATCGTGTATAGTAGTTTTGGTTAGTCTTGCTAATTTTTGTCCGGTTTCAAATTTTTAAATTCAAACCTCTCAAAGACAAGGTTTCCGTTGTGTATTTTATTTATTACCTACAAAGCAAAGTGCTTTGATCTCGTTTATCCTTAAAATATAAACCTCATTTTTATCATAAAAAAATAAATTCATATTTAATAAAAACACAGCTGCAAAACATGTGATGATTCGTGTTTTCATTACCCTTCACTTAAAAAATATCTTTTGTAATAGTAAAACTAAAAGGAGAATTTAATTATGTCCACGGTTTTTCCTTTCAATTTGCCATCCACTTAGAAACTTTCTTTGAAGAGTTAAAAAAAATTGAGATTTTCATCGGCAAAAATTTAAGCATAAAAACACAAGGTCACCGCATAAAAGAATTGAATCCTCAAATTCCTCTTTTAAAAAACAGGATGAGTAGTTATATAGAGTATTCTATTCAAAGACATGTTTTTTTAGATTTTTCCATTATCTTTAAATTAGGTTTCTAAATAGGTGACAAATTCTATTTAAAAACCCAGTACACGAATGTACAATGTAAAAATATATCAGATGGTTACGAAAACATCCCTGTTTGTTTACTTCCAAAAACACGAGAGTTATCACGCTCGTTACTTTATCTAAAAGCGGAAATACCGCCAAGTTGACCGGGAGGCGAAATTTGAAGAGTTACAAGATTGTCAGCCAAGTTGTTTTTTTTTCTCGCCATCAATTTGGTTTAACCGATACTCCGAAATTCGACAACCAGACTGCCAAAATCCGCCAGGTTTTTGCAATATGCCGGCACTCTCCTTCCGAGAATTCCGCTTTCTTTCAACCCTTTGCATAAGAGAAATTTGCATAAAATATAGGTAAACGATCACTAAGTGCTGCGTAGGGCAAGACACAAAACCGACCTGACAATTGATTTATGGCGACACACTTCTCAAACGGCACGAATCGCCGTTACTATGGATCTACAACTTAAATGTAGGGTGTGTGAAAAAGTTGATACAAAGCATAGGTAGTTCCCAAAAAACGAATCAAATTTTGCAAACACCCTATATTTGCGAAACACCGCGTATGTAGTCGCGTCATAAGCGGAGGCACAACCGTTAAGTCAGAATCTGCAAATGTGTGTCAACCCTTTGCACCCCTACGGGTTATTATCTGACTCACCCACTTGGCGATAGAAATAACGCCCGTTGACCCCTTTCTATCGCGCGGGGGACGCGTAAATAGTTGCAGAACTAGGAAGAGATATTAAATACGGTTTTACCCTTCCGTTTCCGCAAATCTGGACATTTTTGGGGTAGATATATATGTGGGCGAACTCATCCGGAGGCCGATATTTCGTCGCGTTATTGTTGGTCGCATTGAGGGCAGCGGCGTACATAATTTATTTGTTAGACAAAATGATCAAACACGAAAATGAGAGGTTGAACCTACTGGATATGGTTCTGGTTTCTTAAGCGTGGGGTAACAAAAATGTAATAACATCTGATGCATTTTCAGGGTGGCTCATAGAAGTATAAGCATCATAGAATGAAATAAATCTTAAGCTAACCACAAAGAATAATACAAACAAAACTGTAAAAAATATGTTAACTGCAGGCAGTGCTTTAAAACAAACCAAATACTACATATTGTAAAGGAGGCGACAGGTACAAAAAACTATTAACTCTAAAACTCGGTAGAATCTAACCCCGTAAACGGACTTTAAAGTACGCCACTGGAATAGTTATTGTTGTGCCGTTGCACCCCGTATAAATTCATAACCCACCACACTTCATTTAATGACATTTTCGCTGACTGACTGACTGTCTATTGATTTTCTACGGAAAACTGCAAAATGAAAATTGTAATGTGCGTTATTAGCCGTTTTGTAAATATATCTAATTAAATGGATGCTGATGGATGATAAACGAGTTCACAAACAAAATCATGGGGTGAACTGGAAATTAAGTAATACCAACTATAACATAGTAGCCAGTTAAAAGTTGTTTATAGTTTGGAATTTTTAACAATAGTTACTTCACTAGTGCTAAATACTCGTTCGTTGTTTCTTTCATTTACTAAATAACTATTTACATCGAAGTATTGACAAATATAAACGACAAAGGACCTCCCGACGGCCTGGATAAAAATATTTCAAGCAGGTAACAGGAACGATTAGCTGATTGTAATACTTTAATGATTTCGAATTGGGTTCTGTTGAAGCAAATCTATGCATAATTGCGAAATCGTTACCCTTAGCTTTATTTAAACAATGTGAGGATTTTCCTTGGATCGTCAGGGGTGGCGGTTTTCTTGGAAGAGTGCACGAGTGCTTGTTGAAACTTAACAGGATTAAAACTGTTCAGGTGGTCTCTTCGCTTAGTATTCTCTAGGAGAATACCGCGGCGTCTAGAAAATTGAAGGACCTTTTCCTAATTTTCGGGCCTTATTAACCCTTACATCCTCACATTTTAAATTGCTTTTAATGGAAACATAATTCTCCGTCCTTGTGTCCGCTTTCTTCCATTGCGTTTTGTATTTTACTGACCAGGTTTTATACAGATCTAAATTTTTGCGATTTTCTTCGTGATGTATACAGGGTGTTTTCTAATTGAATGTCAATAGTTAAGGGGGCAATTTTTGGTTCCGTTTTGAAAAGAAAACTTCATATGAATGTGTTAACTTTTGAGATGCAGAGTGGTAAAGTTTTCAAAAATAAAATGTATCTTTTTAATACACGAGTGGAGGGCGTACGGAATTTCACTTGTCTATTTTGGCAGACATTGACGGTACGCCACTGATTTTTCTTAAAATAAAAATTATTCTTACCATCTCCAATCATTCCTAAAGAAATATCTTGATTTTTTTAATCTGATGTACGGTTTTCACCTGTTCTCTGTGTGGTCATAACAATATCGTTAATATGACCGCATGCAGACAAATTAGTCTTTATTTCTAAGTGAAAACCGTGCAACAGACAAAAATAAAATTGGAGATCGAATCTGCTCATAAATGAATGCAAATGTCAGTAACAGATAATATTTTGGTAAATTAGGTCGTCACTGCACTGGCTAAATCGAGAACTTTTTTTTGTGAAAAATGAAATATCTATCTAATTCGAATTCGAAAAACACCAGGGTTTTCTCGAAAGTCTCTAATAAATTTGCAGAAATAAAAATGTTCAGGTGGTGACCTCTTCCGAACACGATTGAAGTAGAAAAATTTGGAGTCTTTGGAGGGTACGACGAGTCCCAAACAAAAGCGTTTCCGTTTGGGGATGGCGATTTGATGCTCGTTTTTTTATATTGCTTTACGACTCGGCAGTAAAAAGCATTTCGCCAATTTGGCCCCGGTGAATATTCGGTCCTTCGGAGGAGCGCTTTCTAAAAAATCGGGCGAGACCCTTTTTGCGAGGGATGTAATTGCCGTTCGGAATAACTTTGCGACATGCCAATTCGAACGCTAAAAAAACATTAAAACAGCAGGTATCCCCTTTTGGAATGACGGCGCGGCGCACAGTGCCGTACTCGAGTTGTTTATAGTTTTTTTTTTACCTACCAAAATCTGTGCAAACTAAACTAAGATTGTGGAAATGCGAGAAGAGATTCAGTAGTGGATCAGTCTACACCTAATAACCACTAATTACCACAAATTACATATTAAATAACGGTAAGTAAGGAAAACTTCTATTCATTCTTTCGAGGACCATAACAAAAAATAACATTAACATTTTTTTTTTTAATTTATAAATATTTAGGATATGAACAGAGAAAAATCGACTCTGAAATGTGATATTCAATGCTTATTTTTGGCAAAACTATTGAATTTCAATATTACTTTTCCATTTTAATAAACGAGTCCAAAAATTAAACATTATATAAGTAGGACAAAATCTCTGCCAAACTGACACTAGGTTTTAGGTTCTTATAAGGATTATTTCAGAACGTTATAGTCGTTTATAGTTTATATTTAATATGTTCAACCCCCTTTGAAGTAAAACCAGCACATCTTCTACCCAATTACAATGTCCGTAGAAAATACACTATTTATTTACTTATGCCACGTTCCTTTTTTGACCAATGAAAGATATCAGACTGCTGAAGTAAAAAATGCGATCTTTCATTATTTTCTTACATTCCAATATATAATTACTCATCTTATAGTAAAGATTATTATTATTTATTATTATATATTTATATTTATTAGAAACAGTTCTAAATCAATTACCTCCAAAAATATCCTGAAGTCATCTAATATTACCACTATGGATCCACTAATAAATACCCTATTCGATAATTTCCACCTAATTGCCACAATTGTATACGCTAAATCTAAATTGTCGTAATGAATCGACCCGGTCGAAACTTCTTAAAGTAAATGAGCTTTACAAAAAATATTTTTTTAAGACATTGCGACACCTAATTATGTCGGTAATATGTATTGACGGCTAATCATGACTTTCAGAAAAAAGATACATAAAAGATAAGTGTAAGAAACATTTAAAAAAATTACAATCGAAATCGACTTTTCGAGACGCCCATTAACACTAACCTGTTAAGTTCGTTTTGGATCTTTTGTACATTCAGGTTATACGAAATTTCACAGCCAATAACCAAACCTTCTTTTCTTTCTGGCAAAACTCGTGTAAACGAAATTTCCAAACCCGTCCCTGTTCGAACGGTACTTTCACCTTCTAACGGTACATCCCTAAGAAATTACCCTTGCCTCGCAATAAAATTCGCAAAATGACCACAGACCGCCTGCCGGGTGGTGGGGTAACTCGTTTTTGCAACCCCCGACGACGGGCGAAACGCAAAGGGTTGAAATATCTGTCATTCGAATTGTAGACGTCGATTCGATCTAGGCGGGTGAAAGAGGTTTGACATATTGCTGCGTGCGCCGACTGCGATTTGCCCGGTTCCGGAATTTTCTTGGCTTCGTCGCGCTTACACCCCCGTAGAGGTCCGACATGGTGAGTTTTTTGTTTAATTTTTTTAGTCTCGGTCTTTATTCTAAATAAATATTCTTGAAAATTGTCGCGGATTAAGCAACTTGATTTTGCTACGCACCAAATTATTACGGTTTTAAAATTAACAACTGCGTTTTTGAATAATTCTGAATTTTTAGATTTTTAAATGACTATTAAAAACTACTCTCTGAATAGTTACTTTTACAGCACTAACGAAAGTGTGATTCTGAGGAGTATGAAATAAGATTGAGGTGTTAAAAATTGAAATTATAATTTTAATATTTTAAATATTTTGTTAATAACTATTTTTGAATTTCTTTTAAATATTTGTCTTTTTTCACAATTTGTCCTAAAATATTCAATTCAATTATTTATTGCTTATAAGAAATTGTATTTCTACGAAATCCGCATCAGAAATTACGGTAACGTTAAAAAGCAAATAAGAAAAAAATCTCTCAACATGGAAGTTTCTTAAATCAATCATATTTTAACAATTTCGTAAGCAAAATCTAGTCACGCAAGGTTGATCAAAACTAATCATAATGACTCCATTCTGGAATTATTTCAGATGCAACAGCTATCATCGGCCCCTACATTCCAACCACCCTTTGCTACCGTCTACTACTTCAACTCTCCCCCACTGCCGGAGCCTTCGTACGTTCTGGATCTATCAAAAAAACGACCTCAATCTCCAGATTATTCCCATTGCTTCCCCAGTCCTAAATCTTCACCAACATATCCCTTATCTACTGGTTGTCCTCAAAAATCCCCAGGTTCGTTATCGATAAAATCGGAAACTTCGGACTCGTTCTCCTTCGGTTCCGATTTAACCAATTCCCCAAAAGGCAAACCAAAATCTGTCAGGCCCTTCAAAGCATTGCCGAAAGATTCTCTAAGCTTGGCTTTCGGGTCAGTTTCCCAAGTGGACACCGGCGTCCTTTTCCTGGAGGGCGAAGATAATACCTCCAATGATACAACTAAGGCCATAGTTGAAGACTCGTTGAAAGCATACGCGGAGTTCAGGAGGAAGATGCTCGAACAGATACGTCACGAGTGCGGAACCAATAAGAATATGAGACGCGCCCAGTACAACGAGGAGAAACTGAACGACCTGCAGTATTTGGAGAAGAGGAGGAAGAATAACGAGGCGGCCAAGAGGTCGCGGGACGCGAGGAGGATAAAACAGGACGAGATCGCTATAAGGGTGACTTTTTTGGAGCAGGAAAATATGATGCTAAAGTGTCGGATAGACGCGGAGAAAGAGGATTTGGATAGGTTGAGGCGGCTTTCAACCGCGAGTTAAACAAAAAGGAATGTAAATAGTGTATGTACATATGCGGATTGTATATTGTAAATAATAGTCTTTTTTCAATAAACTGCGTCGCTTAGTTTTCAAGAGTTTTTTTTACAATATTCTTCTGTATACTTGTGTTAAATTTTTTGGATTTTTTGGTTAGAGAAAAACTATGAAATGAAATTCGAAGGAAAGTCTATAAATAAATTATAGCACCCTTTAAGTTTTATTATTTATAACTTTTATTTATATGTAACTATATTATTTATTTTTACATCCTGTACCGTCAAGTATCGGCACACAACTGAAAGAGCTAGAGTAACTAGACCTGCCACTGACATCAATTACAACCATCTCTGTCTTAAAAAATTATTATAAATTAACAATTAACATAAAAAGTTTTTTGCTTCAACTTCAAAACACAAATATTTTAAAATATTTCTGTCCATCATTAACTTTCCGCCAAAAATTTATCCGGCAGATATACAGGACCGTATCAAAACAATAAACCACCAGCAACAACCGTCTTAAAAGTACACCAACCGCTGCAACATATCCTTCTCTTTCTTCGCTTCTTCGATTTTTAACCTCAGATGAATATTTTCCTGTTCGAGAAAAGCACACCTGATCGCGATCTCGTCCTCTTTTCGCTTCCTGGCCTCCCGCGATCGCCTGGCGGATTCGTTATTCTTCCTCCTCTTTTCCAAATATTCCGCATTAGCGGACCCAACAAAACGTCTCATGTTCCTGTTCTCTGCGATTTCTGATTTCATCTCGCTGAGAATTTCCGAGCGGAACTTGGAATAAGCTTCCGAAGTGCGATCATCTGGGGTGTGGAATGTCGAAATATCTGGGAAACTTTTGAAAGGCCTCTGCGGTTTGCTTAATGGGCTACCGTGACTTGTGTAAAAATGCTGAGGCAGGTTTAGATGACAACACAATGGAATACCACAGCAGGGTTTTACGTGCGCAGGATGAAACTTGCCATAAGGGTAGAATACCGGCCAATTCCGACAATCGAAATTCATTCTTTCGCGAGATATGCAGAACTGGCAAATAAGGTCGAAAAATGCGACCTGCATTGCAGATATTAAGGACGATTTCCGTCCTGGTTATAAATGGTACCTGGAGGTTTTTGTGTCTCCTCAAAAGACGCACAATGGCGATAATAATTATGTTTATATACAATATTATTTTTATTGGGGTCGGATATTACGGGTGTCGCTGCGACAGAAAATATTCGCATAATACTATTGGTACTAAAACAAAACGGGTCTTTTTCTACACGCGGTTTTGTTCTGTGATGTGATTTTTTGCATATCAAAACAACGTTCAGACTGAATAACTTCTCGGTGATGTTGCGATTTGTGAAGTGTTTTGTTTCAAAATTAATAAATCTACATTTATCTCAAAGGGGGTTAATAAATTAAATGTACCTAAAATACTTCTCCTGGGAAACGTTTAAAAGAAGTCTAGCGTCGCCGTATAAGACTGCCAACAATACAGTGTTCTTGCGGGCTTTGCAAACAATACAATTATTCAACGGTCGATGCTGGAGGTGAGCCTTACAACTTTTAAAAGAGCACGCAATTGTTTGTTATCTTTTTGGCTCTTTTAGTAATGTCGTTTATGTGCATAATAAAATTGTTATTATTGGTCTTTTAGTGGGTTCACCTATTTGACTAGTCTAAAGAAATAAAAATTTCTTCATATTTCATTTTTAATACTAACAACTCTGGTGCCATCTGGTATTCGATAGAAGAACACAACCTTGTTTCATAATACTGTTTGTACTTTGTCATTTGCAGTTTGAAATTCTTATGTAGGCAACCAACATCAAAAGATTTATCGAAATATCGAGCGCAATCTAGTGGACGCAGCCAGACTTAAAAAAGGAAGTTTTCTTTCGGACGTTAATCCGAGAACAGTGTTAGAAGCAGGTGATCAATGGCGAAATGAGAGCTGTCAAACCATTCCCAAAGATGGCAGCACAAGACCTAAAATGAGTTTTGATGAATGAAATTCCTGTTTATATAAATTATTTCTGTTTGGGGAAATTCTAAGGTGTTATCTAAACTTATTATGACAAGCAGAACGTTTATGTCAAGAATCACGCGAAAATAAAGAAAAAACAAATAGGACAATGTTAAGATTTTTAAAAAATATAACAAACGTTGCAGATCGGATTGTAATTGTTTTGCTCGCTTGCCGATAGTAGCTTTTCATACTTTCTTTTCCACTACTAAGATTTTCCTTTTCGTTGCTGTTGAAAATTTCTTTCAAAAAAGAAATTTAGCAACCTTTGTCCATTAAACACTTACAAAATCGCATAGAATTAAATTATTAACGGAACGAGCATGTCACGTGCGTGTACTTGTTTTACTCGTTATTTACACCATTGTAAATTTAGATATTTTTGTGGTGACTTTCCACGTTGATAATTTGTTGTTTGGGTAGGCTCGACCGCACGATCGCCTGCAATTTGCTGATTGACAATTTGTACATACTCGTATTTCTTGTTAATGAAAACGGAATAAAAGTGAGTCATCCGAAAAATAACGTTTCGTTTCATTTTCCTCAAAGCAAATTACTTACATACTAATTAAAACTAAAGTCCGATTAACTTTGAGTAATATCAACAATAAAATTTACTAGTATTAGTAACAGTAAGCAAGTATTGATATTTATAGGTATAATCCAGGGGTGTACGCTGCAAATATTTTGAACAACCGTTCTCGTCATATATCCCAAACAAAGCATTTTTTTAATGGAAAATCCTGTATTTTTGGTTACATAAAATTAATGTAAACTGGCCCTTAAAATGTTTAAAAGAGTTGACATTTTCACTTATTTTACGGAGTATTTCTTGCACAGATAAGATCTTTAAAATATTGATATACTGTTTGAATTGTTTTTTTGCATTAGCACAAATATCAGAAAAACGTAAACTGGCAATCATAATAATCATTAACTATGGTATACGGAATATCAATTTTTAATAGGAGAACGTCAGCAACAAGGAAGATTTGGGTTTAATTTCGCTTACGCAAAGAATTAATTCGCCATTTACAATAACAATTTAACAGCAGACAGATATCTAGCACTTTTAAATCAAAGAATACCAGATTTATTGGATCAAAATATTTACTTTCAGCATGATGGCGCTCCTACAAAAAAGGCATAAATCAGGTTGTAGATTTTTTCGTTTGATCTTACTTAAAAAAAAATAAAATTTACCTGAACTGAACCAATACTACGGAGCAGCTACAAAATGCAACTATTGAAGTATTTAGAACCCTTTGTCAAGTAGAATTTGTTTATTATTCTCATTAAGTTTATCAAGTTCAGAGTAAAAAATGGTTATTGATTTTTTATTTTGCTTAATTTTGCTTGATGACTTTAATACCTATAATTTCACTTACTACTTACTCTTTTCTTATAATATTGCGTTTTAAGTGCTCATTTACATCACATTGTATGTCGGGAACGCAACAAGGTGGTATAATTCTGTTCACGACAATTAAAGTTTCTCAAAAAACTAACCAAAAAGTTCTATCTTTGCTAGTCGATTTGAGTTTGCCCATATGGCTAAATGGGTTTGCCAGCTATCTGTTAACCTTGAGTTATCTACAGTTGGCAATTACATGCAGCACCTAGCACAGTATTTTCCTCATTTATCATTTTTTATTATCTTTCTTATGCCGAAACGGAAAATGATCGTAACAACGTATGAGCTTAATTTAATTTTTTTTTTCTGTAAAACGATTTAAAAAGTTGAAGAGTTGAAACATTCACTTATTTTACGGAGTATTTCTTATCTGTACAGATAAGTTCTTCAAAATATTGTTATACTGTTTATTTGAAATGTTTTTTTTTTTCAATTGGCAAAAATAGACGTATAGGGTAAAAAACGTGTCAATAAAGATGAAGAAAATCTCCAATTGGATACCTTTCAAAATATATTAATGAAAATATTTCAGAACGGAATGTAAATATATGAATGCTTTGAGCAACAGAGAAAAAATAAGTTTGGTTGAAATAGAAAATTATTTTAATACAAACACTGCTCATAGAACTTGGATTGGGTTACGAAATAAATATTTAAACTTGAAGAGGTCAACACTGAGATCCTCAGTAGATCTACACTTACCTAAATCCATATGGAAATTGATTTGTGGGTTGTAAAGCTATGGATCAACCGCCAAATTTCCGGAGTTCAGCAGAACCGATGTTTAACGTAAAAATAAATTGTTTATGAAATTGTGAGAGTTAAAATCTGCCTCTCCTCCACTTTTTCGTATATCACACACACGCTTTTTAGATTTAAGTATTAAAAATGAAATATAACCATTTTTAAAGTTATTTTTTAAAACTAAAATTAAAATGCAAACTGTATGCAGACTATGAACAACAACGTACAACTGTTAAACTCTTATTACTATTGCTATTTCTAGTTTTAAACTTAATTGCAATCTGCATAAACCCTGCTTTCATTTTCCTAAACTGCGTCAAGCTAATGCCAAAGTTGTCCACAAGAGTGCACCATAGGCTAGTTGGAAATAACCAAAAAATGGCCTCGGTATAATTACTTGAATACAGTGAATATAACTTTCATGAAAATGATTTGATTGATTTGACTCGTCGCACAAAAGGTAATTTTTAATAACTAGTAATTATTAATTATCAAATTTAATGTGGTCCAATAAACAAAAGTAGGCGGGGATTTCGTTGTCGAAGCCTTGTTCTACACAATACAACGCAAAAAAGTCAGTTCTGACAATAACAAACTATATTTAATTAAAATTTTCCGACTAGTTTATTTGATTTTTTTCATTCTGGAAGACAAGCCGTGGTCGTAGTTCATATAATTTGTTGTTTTAGCTACCTGACGATATATTTTACATGGAAGTTCGTATTTATTTTCGAACATGGATATCTTTTTCCTCTGCTAAATGTCAAATACGCCTTATCAAAATAAACATGTGATAATCTATTTTAATATACTTTGAAACATTTACATTTCTCGCAAATTCCAGATCCCGCTAGATTCAAGTTGATAATTTTTTCATATACTCGTAGATTCCCTGTCAATATTTTAAAGCTGAATAAGGAAGTATGGTGCTTTTGATTAAGAAAAATTCCGCTGTTTTATCCTTAGTTGCGCATTAATTTACTTGGATACATAAGTGCTCAGAAAGTGTTTTAAAGCTACTAATTCTGTTCTGTTACTTTAAAGTCAAATCAATTTTTTCGGCTTGGTTTAATGAATTTTTAATAACTTAATTCCAAACACCCTATACATTTTTGGAATTTCCTGAAGGTTCTTAACAAGTTTTGTATATAGTGATATATATGACTCTATTCTCAATTGTTTTGGAGCTATGGACATTTGAAAAGTGATATTTTGGTCAATGTTGAACAATTTGAACGCTAAGCTATTATCTTGATTCGGATTTAAAGGCCGTCGTTGATTGGAATTACTTCCTAACGTTTCGCTAGCACGAGTGGCGAGCTTCTTAAGAGGTCCTTCCATCTCCGATGTTGGACGTAGCGCTGCTCCAACCACGGCAGGACAGGGCACCAGTTACATCAAGGACTCCACCGACTTCGTGCGCAAGATTCAAGATATCAATATTGAACAAAACGACATCCTTGTGAGCTTCGACGTCGTCTCACTGTTTACCAAAGTACCTCTGAAGAGTTGCTTGGACCTGGTGAACAGGATATTTCCTGTCGATATTTGCAAACTTTTTGAAGTCTGTCTGACCGGTAGCTATTTCGTGTGGAAGGGAAACTTCTACGAACAGGTGGACGGAGTGGCAATGGGAAGCCCACTAAGCCCGGTTATAGCCAACTTATTTATGGATCACTTTGAGGAAAAAGCGATCGAGACCTCAGAGTACAAGCCAGCAACGTGGTTCCGGTACGTGGATGACACCTTCGTGATTTGGAAACATGGTATGGACAAGCTCAACAACTTTCTGCAGCATCTCAACAGTCAGCATCCCAGCATCCAGTTTACTATGGAGACTGAAAATGACCAACAACTTGCATTCTTGGACGTACTAGTGAGGAAGCGAGG